AGGCAGCTCCTTTATCTCCCCAAATGGACATTGCTTATGCTTCTCTATCCCTGATCTTTGGACTGAAAAGACTTACATTAAGATGATTAAGGGCAGTGATATAATAGAAGTGCTAATAGAACTGATCATCTGAGATACAATTTTGAGGAGACTTACATGATTAAAAAAATACTAATATATCTTGGAATTTCTAATTTTCAATATTGCACTATGATTTGACATCTCTGCACTGCTGAAACAATATATGGGGTTTTTTGAAGTTTGAATAGTTTAATAAATAGGTTATAAGTACTAATTCCAAATAATTTTAAAATATAAATTACATGTATTTCTATTCTCTCTTTGATAGAGTGCAAATGGAATAATATCTAGATAATGAAATTATCACATATCATGTTACTAAATATATTTTATGTGCACTGAAGATAATTTTTAAAGATCCTCAAGTGACTACAGAAAAATACCATTTTACTTATATGTATATGTAAATAAAAAATCTTAATTCTTCTCTGACTTGTATGTCTTAATTATTTTTATTGTTATGACAGAACTATTGCAGCAATTTTTGATACTTTTGAAAATACGATAAATCAATATACTAATTTACCCTCTTAACAGTGGTGAATGAGAAGTATGACTCAATCTTTTGGTTTTAGGCAAAATATGATACATAATAGCTTTATCTGGATATCTTTTATTACTATGAATTTGAACATTTCTTTATAAACTCATTGGCCATTTTGTTCTACTGTCAAAACTGCCCATTTATATCCTTTCCACCATTTTTCTTTTATTTTTCTTTTTCTGAATATCCATTTTATGTACTAAAATTCTTAACCTATTGTCAAATATATATGAATATACACATACATATATTGCAGATATTTTGCTTTTGTTTTTTGTTTTTGAAGTGTGTGAGTTACGTGTGTCTGTGTGTGTGTGCTTGAGAATGTGCAGAAGATTTTGTTTTTGTAGAGTGTGATCAAACTACCAACTTTTTCCTTTGTGGTTTTCAGCTTTGGTGTTGTGCTTGGAGAAACAATCGTGGAGCATATCAGTGTTCGCCCAAATTTTCATGCTGTTAGAGTTCTTGTTTACGTCGTTCATTCTTCTGGTGTCAATTTATTTTTATGAAAGTATAAGGATATCTAACATTATTTTTTTCCAAATATATAAATAGTTATTCAAATACCAGTTGTAAAATAATCTTTCTCTGCTAATGTGAAGTATAAACCTTATTACATACTAAACTTTTACATATAATTAGATCTGTTTCTGGAATCTATATTTTTGTACACTGAATATTCTGTCCCTGTAACTCATTCTTTTCATTACCATATTTTTTAAAAGCACTTTCATAACTTATAAGGCAACACTACCATTGCTTTCCTTTTTAAGTATTTTTAATGGATTGTTTTTTGCCCATTATATATCTTCTTGCACTTTAACTTTTGTTTTGAGATGGAGTCTAGCTCTGTCGCCCAGGCTGGAGTGCAGTGGCGCAAATTTTTGTATTTTTAGTAGAGACGGGGTTTCACCATGTTGTTCAGGCTGGTTTCAAACTCCTGACCTCGTGATCTGCCCACCTCAGCCTCCCAAAGTGCTGGGATTACAGGTGTAAGCCACTGCACCTGGCCCACTTTAACTTTCAAATCATTTGTCATATCAACCTTTGAGCGATGACTAGGGGGAAATGACACTAGCACTTTTGTTGTCATTAAACATTAAATTAGATTAATTTGGGGGAGAATTAAATGGTTTATAATTTTGAACCTTTTTATCTCACCCTCTGTTCAAGTCATTTTTCTTAATAGTCAAATTTTGAAGCTTTCTATATAGACTCTATAAATTTTTTGTTAATTCCATTGATTTTGTCAGCTTTTGCAAGCAAAAAAAAATTGCAAGCAAAAAAATTTTGCAAGCAAAATATTTGCAGGCAAAAACAAAAGGATCCTTGTTGAATAAGCAAGAAAAGAAAATACTCAAAATATGGTGGGTGGCTCAAAGAATCTGTAGGTGGGCCAAAAAGTAGACTCAAGGTTAAACTTCCAAAGAAAATCACTGGAACCATCATAGCAAAGTCTGACAAGAAAACTGTCACTGCCACCACCACCCCAGAGCACTAGCAGCAGTTCAGGTTATAGCTGCCACCTCTGCACAAGGAACTCTGCTCTTCAGCAGCCACCATTACTCCTAGAGACAGTGCTGCTTCTTTTTTTTTCTTATTTTGTTGCACTAGCTAGAACTTCCCAAATAATGTGACTAATAGTACTCATGATGAGCAACTTTTTCTTGTTCTTGCCTTTAATGGAAAAATGTGTAGTTTATTTTGGTTTACCATTGGTCTAGAGAGTGTTAGGAAAGGTATCTTCAATTCATAACTTACTAAGATATGGTTTTATTTTGTTTGTTTTTCTTGTATTTTTAAAATCAGAAATGAATTTTGAGTTGTATCAGTTGTTTCTTTGTCAGAATGATCTTATGCTTTTATTTTTTTATTTTAACCTATTAATGAATATAGTACATAGGCTTTCTAGTATTTAAGCTTCCTTGGATTCATGAAATAATTCTTATTCAGTCATGGTGGGATAAAGTCAACATCATATACTGGATATGAGTACATGTTCTGGGATCTGACTGCCTGGGTTCCAATCTAGGTTTTGCCATTACTCTTTATTGTGACCATGGAAAAATAACTTAGTCTTTGCAATACTCAGATTTTTCTTCCATAAATCGGGAAGATAATAATAATACTATGTGTGTAAGAGTTGTGTGAGAATCGTTTGACATAATGCATGAAAACAACAGTATATGCTACGTAGTATGGAGTCAATGTCAATTAGTATCTTTATTGTCTGTTAATATTACGTTGACTTTAATGTTGATGCATGATTTGTGCCAAATATTTCCAAGGGAGATTGGCTTGTAGTTTTCTTTTGGGATGTTGTTTTTGTCAATTATCTTTGATACATTTTCTGTATAAGGGTTGTATTAGTCTTGCCAAATAAACAGGAAAGCTTTCTATCTTCTTCTATACTCCAGAAGACTTTTAAACATTTAAATTTCTGTTCAGTTAAGGAAACAAAATTTTTCTGTAAACCATTAGTGTCTTCAATTTTCATAAGTATAGTTCTATGACATCTTTTTCATTTATTTCATGGCTTTTATTTTTTCAAAGATTTTACTTAATTTTAATCATTTGCACTTTCTTAGAATATCATTTATTACCATGCAGTTATAAATCCAAATTTACTATAGTATAGTTGTACCTAACGTCTTCTTTTTCTTCCCGCTTCCTACTTTTATTAAAATTATACCATGCAAAATACTTCTGTAACATTTGTTACAGATTGTTACAGAAGTATATTGCATGATGCTAGGTTTGGGGTATGACTGAACCTGTCACCCAGCTAATGAGCATAGTTCCCAATAGGTAGTTTTTTAGCCCTTGCCACTCTTTGCATCTCCTCCCTCTAGTAGTCCCCAGTGTTCACTGTTCTCATCGTTATGTCCGTGTGTACCCAGTGTTTAGCTCCCACTTATAAGTGAGAACATGCAGTATTGATTTTCTGCTTCTGCATTAGTTTGCTTAAGATAATGGCCTCCAGCTGCACCCATATTGCTGCAAAGGACACGACATCATTCTTTTTTATGACTGCGCTATTCCATGGTGTACATATACCACATTTTCTTTATCCATTCCACTCTTCATCGGTACTTCAGTTGATTCAATGTTTTTGCTATTGTGAATAGTGCTATGATGAACAGAGAGTACATGTGTCTGCTGTTACCTTTTTTCCTATTATGTTACAACATTGATACTTGCTATTCTTCACTTTTGTGTCAAAGTAGTAGAAATTTCATCATCATTATTAATAAGGATAAGTTTTAGAATTTTATCAATAAAGTGTATCTGGATAGTTTTCCTCTGTAATTTATTAATTTCCATTTTTATTTTTACAAGTTTCTTCTTCCCAGTTTGATTATTTTAAAATTACTTTTATTCCCGATTTTAATGTCTACTTTGTTTATTTTCCTTCTTTTTAATTTTTTTATTGATACATAATAAACACATGTATTGATGCATTTATAAAATATGTAATAATCAAATCAGGGTAATTGGGATATCTGTCATATTAAACATTTATCTTTTCTTTATGCTAGGAACATTTGAATGGTTCTCTACTGGCTATTTTGAAATATTCAATAGAATATTATTTACTCTAGTCACTCTACTGATTTACTGAACGCCGCACCTCGATCAAGGCATTTTAGGCTAAGGGGTATTTTCCTATGTGTACAGTTTGATCCCACCCCATATTTTTAATAAATCTGTTGTTTTAATGTTCCTTTTAGACTTTATAGTCTCAATTTCCTCTTTCATACAAGAATCATTTTTAAAGAATGCTTTTCATTTTAAATACTTATTTTTTTCTATGTTTCTGAAATCAACTTCTAGTTATATTACATGCAAGTCAGAGAATGTGATCTGTACTGTGTTTTTTCTCTCCATCTAATCATTTGATCATTTCATCAAGAAACCTGAATGAAGCGGGAGTTAAACACGCTAGACTTAGAGATATTGAACATGAAAATTCTCTTTTATCTTTATTACTTTAAAATATTATAAAATAAAGTTAATAGTTGCATAAGATAGCAGAGAAATGATTACTGTCTTTTATCTGCTTACTGGTGATAACATCAATTTAAATGTCTTATTATTCAACCTAAATTACAAAATGTCTCAATTTATATGCTCACTTTCATAAGCTAAGATTTTTTATTTTTTATTTTTATTTTTTGCTTTTATGTAGGAAGCATTTTTCTGCCCTCTACTATGAAACTATTATTAATGTTATTACTCATTTTTATAATATAATTAAAGTATTGATTGGCTTTTGTTGGCTATGATTTGGATTTACTTTTGACTTTTAAATATTTCATATACCTAAATTCCACTTTTCAGAATATTTCTGTTTATTTGATTGTTATTTTTACAGAACATGGTTGGAGAGTGGGCCTTACCAGAAGAAATGGTTGACAATTTACCACCCTCCAACAATTGCATACTGGGCCATATTCTTCACAGGCTAGTTGAAAAATCTCTTCCCCCTCGAGCAGAATCAACAACACCTGAATTACCTTCATTTGCTGTTAAAGGATGCTTACTGGGGAAAACATTAAGTGGAAAAACTACCATTTTAAGGTCTCTACAAAAAGGTAGAATTTTTTCTCCTGCTCTGCCTGCCATTAGGTCCTATTTACACTGACTGTAGCTGCAAATGTCTATGTCTATTAAAAAAAAAAACCATACAAGAAGCATTGCTGATATGTTGGGAAATCTCTATCATCAAAAATTTTATAATTTTCCAGGCTATGATTATTCAGCCATAAAAATGAGTGAAATATTGATACATGCTACAACATGGATGATCCTTGACCATGTTATGCTAAGTGAAAAAAGCCAGACACAAAAGGTCACATAATGTATGAGCCCACTTGTATGAAATATCCAAAATAGGCAAATCCATAGAGTAAGAAGCGAATTATTGGACGTGAGAGGCAGGGGTAGGGGAATGAGAGTGACAGCTCAATTGATTTGGGATTTCCTTTCAGGGTGATTAAAAATTTCAGGAACAAAATAATGGTGATGGTTGCACACATTGTGAATATCTAAGTGCTACTGAAATGTATCCTTTAAATGGTGGAAGTGCTTAACTTTATGTTATTTGAATTTTATCACAATTTTTATCTATTTTATTTTTATTTATTTATTTATTTATTTTGAGACGGATTTATTTTTTCGTGCCACCACACCCGGCTAATTTTTGTATTTTTAGTGGAGACAGGGTTTCACCATGTTGGCCAGGATGGTCTCAATCTCCTCATCTCATGATCCACCCACCTCGGCCCCCTAAAATGCTGGGATTACAAGCATGAGCCACCGCACCAGGCCTTATCACATTTTTAAAAAAGAAGCTTGATCCACCTGGGTGCGGTGGCCCATGCTTGTAATCCCTGCACTTTGGGAGGCCGAGATGAGTGGATCATCTGAGGTCAAGAGTTTGAGACCAACCTGTCCAACATGGTGAAACCCCATCTCTACTAAAAATACAAAATTTAGCCGGGTGTGGTGGCATGCACCTATAATCCCAGCTACTCAGGAGGCTGAGGCAGTAGAATTACTTGAACCTGGGAGACGGAGATTGCAGTGAGCCGAGATAACGCCACTGCACTCCAGCCTGGGCCACAGAGTGAGACTCTGTCTCAAACAAAACAAAACAAAACAAAACAAACAAAAAATAAGCTTGATCCAAAAGACAATTCTAGTGGGCCTGAAAGACTGTTATAGGGCAAAACCAGCACATAAAGACAATTTCCAGTTCCCAAATGAAAAGCTATTTTGTAAGATTATATTTTGTACTTTAGACTTTCCTATGCGGATACTTTCTATTGACACTCTTGTCCAAGAAGCTATCCAAGCATTTCATGACAATGAAAAAGTCAGTGAGGTTCTACCAATTCAGAAAAAAGATGAAGAAAATGCTCTACCAGTTCTGCAGGAGGAGATTAAAGAAAGCCAGGCAAGTGTGATTCTAGTTTTCTCTTCTGCGCCTAGCACATTAGAGATTTGGAGCTAGATGGAATTTAAAAAGTCTTCTAGACCAGAAGTTTCTTCCGTACAAACCCAGAGAGTAAAATTTTAGGTTCTGCAAAAGTCTAGAGAATAAATATTTAAGTTAAATATTTAGGATAAATTTGAGGCCAAGAGGTAAAATCAAGGATATTATGTGGGTACTTGTATAACAAGAGAGAAAACTCCTGCTTCCCACCAGTTTGTCTGGGTAGACCGTCTTGTGTGATGGGCCCCCTCTGGGTCTAGTAGCCGTCAGCTGGAGCCATTCTCCCGATGAAAGAGCCACTAGCTGGTAAGTGGGGGTGGGTGAAGTGATTGAATTGTGGAGGTTGGGAGGGTGGTATATAATTCTTTTGCGGGAACTCAAGAAGTCACCAACTCCTGCACGGAGATCCTCCCACCCAGCTTCTGGCAGTTGCCAACATCAAAGTCCCCAGTGTATAGTCAGAGACCAATGCTGGCCCTGGGCAGTGGTTGAGGCAGATGTAGAATCTCAGCAGGTACAGAGGTAGAGGAGGACTCCAGTCTCTGTCTCCAGTCTCACAGTGGTCAACTGCTGAAGTGGTGTTCAGAAACTGTATGAAAACTGTCGGTAAGCCTTTGTGGTCTATGAGCTGTAGTATGCTGACACCTGATCTACATTAGTAGATCTCAATTGGGGGATGGCTCTCTGAAAGGTTTACCTGTATCATATTCCCATCAATATTGCATCTCATTTCATTATTGCATAATGATTCCTGGGGTGGAGGGGTGAATAGGAAAATGTAGCCCCACCTTCAGAATCCTTGATGTAGTCCAGCTCCCTCATTCTACAGAGCATGTAGTAAAGACCCTAAGCATGAATTGGTTTGCTTGGAGTCAGAAGGCTTGTCAATGGCTTCTCTGTGATTAAGGTTCCAGATTGTAAGTCCACTACTCTTTCCTCTCTCTACCTTATGCTGCCTCTGCAACTGAATGGATTAGCTGATAATCTGATCCAGATCATTTGCATAGCCTGCAAAAATAAATGTCATTTAACAATTAATTTTGAAAATAACTGGGAGAAGTTTTCTTCATGGTGGGCTCTCTCTTCTTCCATGTTGTAATATCTTTATATTTTAATCAATAAAGTAATAGACAATGTACATTTTTCTTAAATTACCCTATGGCTATGACTGACATCTCTAGGATTGTTCAAGATGGTTTTCCGTAAACTCTACCCTTTCCTTAGGTTCCATTATCTTTTCAAAATAGCAATGGGCATATTTTACATAGTAATTGAAGATCATTCAAAAGACAGATTACATCACAGGTTACTGTGTATTTCTATAAGTGCAATTATCCAATCTTGTTTGTTTCTGGAAATAAGAATTTAGGACTGAAACTTTAATCTCCTTTAAAATCATTAATGTTATAGATAAAAAGTATTTGTTCTCAAACCTTTACTTATAGATATAAAATTAGGAGAATTATTAAAATATAGCAATGGTAAAATCCCTCCCTGTGTTTGTTTTCTCTCCAAAGGATCCACAAAATGTATTTTCAGCTGGTCCAGTTTCAAATGAAGTATTACCAGAAACAGAAGGTGAAACGATACTTAGTAAGATCTCAAAACAAATCATCTATTATTTACATTAGAGACAGAAACAATGAGAACACATATATGTGAGCACAAACATGCTTTCAGGGAAATAAACAAGAACCAAAGGGAGTTTTATATAGTTGTCTACATATGGCCATTTGACAGAGGGAGCAAGATCACTCTTTCCTACAACTGGGGATGAGATGAAAATTACAAGAAAATCTTTTGAGTCTCCTTCAAATGGTTAATTAGTTTTGCTGCTACTATGAAAGAAGCCAGAATAAATCATCCTCATTCTTCCTGTCTGTGCAAGGGGACAGACAGTCTTTTCTTGTTCTCACCTGTGTGTAAGACTGTGTGTATGAGTACAATTGGGGCTTTCTACAAACGTACTCCTGCTTTGTTTATTGTATTGCAGAAGACTGTAGGGGCTGGTCTTTTTAACCTCTATGCACAGTGGTTCCTAAGTTTATTCTCAGCCTTGGGCACTGCCAATACAATTAAGTTTCCCAAACATAACAAAAAGTTATCTCCCTTGGGATCTGGGCTGCAGTCCTTCAACTCCTTTGTAGAACCATTGAAGGAAAACAATTTTAAGTATTAAATATTTTTTCCTGTATGTGCTAGTGAAGGCTTTGCCATATTAAATAGCTTCCTCATATTCTAGCATGAAGCGAGCTCCTCCTGTGCTATCATTATTATTGCCATTACCATTGAACAATATCCAGGTTTACTATGAGCATACAACACTCCAGAGAGGTTGGACTTTCCTTTTTTAAGAGGACGCTATCTGTCCCTTATTCCTGTTATCTGTTTCTTAAGAGATAATTTTAGTTGATTTTTTAAAACTATTATAAGTATTTTATTACATATTTTATTATACATTAGTCTAAGTAATTATAAACACACTGTTAAAACTTCTCTTTTTTTCATAGAATTTAAGTTAAAACACCTCTGACTTCTAGAGTCATCTGCTTTTAAGACATTTATCTATAACTTGGTAATCCAGGAAAATAAAAGTGTAAAAAAATAACATTTTAACATTTTTTTGAAAAACTTGACTGTCTTCTGAAAAGCGACCCCCGACTGTGTTAAAGTATTCCTAACGATATTTTTATGAGCTCAGATCATGCAGGAAGGGAGGGAGGAAGGGAGGGAGATAGGGAGGGATGGGAACCACCAAGACACATAGTGGCCAGGATCTTAATGGTATGAGTGAAGGTAAAAGCTATGCTGTGGTGATTCTATTACTTCTTTCCTCTGAGTATCTCAGGTATAGCTGGATCTGATAACCCTTATGTCCAAAACCATAGATGGTCAAATACTGCTGTGGTTGTTAGGTGTAAATACCAGAAATTTGTTTTTACCGCTTTTCCTATTGCTAGGTGCTAATGCTGATAAAACACCAAAAGCTGAAGAAATCAAATCCAGTGATAGTTTCTTAAAAGTAAGTATTATGATCTAATTTTAGCTACTAGCATAATAAAACATGTCATGATTAATGGCGTTTTGGAGTGTCTTCAAATGCAATGAAATGGCAATGTGTTCTTCTTTGGTTTCAAAGTAAATTTGATGGTATAATATTAGGTTATCTGACTTTACTTAGCATTCTTTGTATTCTCAATATTCATATGGAAAGCAGTGGAAATTACTCTTCACTTTTGCCAGGGTAATAAATATGTGCTTTTAAAAATTTTAGACTGAGGCCAAATTCATTTCATCTTTACCATTTAATTTATGACTTTTATTTCACTCGTACCCTCTTTACCTTTAAATATTTTTTCCAGAATTTATCTTTACTCTTGTTAGTGACTCTACAGAATTTTTTTTATTAATGCCTGAAAAAATGTTTACAACAGTTCACTCACTATTTCTGCTAATGGAAACTAATCGGTCATCAAATAATATGACCAGATTAAATCAAGTGAAATTTTATTGTTTGTATTACATTTGATTTTTTTATTATGCATCTTATCATGAAAAACAGTTTTATAATATTTTAGGTTTCAAAAGTGCTTAAAGATAGAAAAAGTTTTGGAAGGATATACACCGAACTGTAAACAAGATGAGCAATGGGAGAGAAATGGGTTCAGAAAAAGCAGGAAAAGGAGACTTATTTACTCTGTGAATTTGAAATATGAATTAGCAGAAAGGATAAGTATGTTTTATATTTACCTTTATTGACTTTAAAATCTCACAAATTCCATATTCAATTCAATTCAAAGAGCATATGTTGATTTGTACAGTGTTTTAATACCTTGGATATATCAGTGAATACAAACGACAGGATTCCCTGCCCTTGTGGTGTTTATGTCTCTCTAATGGAGAGAGACATAATAAACTATGAACATAGAGATAAGTATGAAATTGAAGATGATGATGAGTGTCATAAGAAAAGGAAACATAGAGTGGAGCAAGGGGAGCAGGAGCACAGGCCAAGGGCAGTGAAAGAGGCACAGCTGGTCACCTTATGACATCGGGCAGGCCTCCTTGGGAAAGGGAGACTTAAGCAGATTGAAAGAGGTGACAGAACCAGCCTACTGGATTGGGGGAAGTGTTCCAGGCTGTGAGGATAGTGAGGCAGGAAAGTGCCTGGCCAGCTGGGCCAGAGAGTATTTAGTAAGGGATGAGGTTAGAGACATGGGTGAGAAAGGAAAAGAATCAGGTCAGTCAGGCCCTCAGGCAATTATTGGGACATTTGGAGTAAAAGGGAGAATTTTAACAGGACTTGGAATAGAGCCATACCATTTGACATAACATTCTCACTCTGGCAGCTGAGCTAAGAATAGACTCTAAGTAAGTTCCTGTTTCAGTGATATTGAGTAGCTTGTATTGGACTAACCTACAAATAACAAGTATAAACACTAGGCAAAATAGAAAAGATAATTATTTGAGGGCTAAAAGAAGACAGCAAACAAGCAAGCAGCAAACAACAGGCAGAAAATCTGTGGAATTTGACCATGGAAAGATGAGAACTTCACTGGGCAAGGGCCATGTTTATATGAGTTTTCCCCAGAGGGCATGCCCCTGTCTGCATGGCATGAGTGGCTACAGCCCAAGCAGAGAGCTCAATCTTTCTGATTTAAGGTATTAGAGAATTAAGTCTGGGGATGCAAGAGCAGCTGCAATTGAAGAGTACAATCTTGGAAGGGAGGGAGCCTCGAAGGAAGAGCCTCACATTCTGTGCACACATTTTCCTGAAATGCTTCCCTGACTCCCCAGCTGTGCCACATGATCAGTGTCATCATCAGAGAGCATGGTCATTTAATTGACTTTTCCTCCACACATTTGGAATTTGACTTTTAAATTAGCCATCTTCTGTCATTTCTTGTTTATTTTCCCAGCTCACTACGCGTGCTCAACTTGGTGCAAAATCAGAACAGTTGCTGAAGAAAGGAAAGAGCATTCCTGATGTGCTGCTTGTTGACATCATGGTAAATGCTATTAAGTATGTACTGCATTTTTCTTCTTCTTATCTATTTAATATATTCTTTATCACACAAAGATGTATCCAGAATAATATGGAATTTTTTTTGTTTTAATATCTCATAAGTTTCACTCATCTGTATAAGAAAATATATAGCAATGAAAAGATAGATATATTTTGTGATTTACATGCCTATATTCCACTTCTTCTCCCATACCAAGCTTGACTTCTTTTACCCAGATATGAATAAAGTCAGGTTCTATTACCTGGGGGGAATTCAAGGAGAAATTGAGTAATTGGAAAAGCCAAGGGAAACACTCAATTGTGTGGTCACAGACCACGGGGAAAAAAGAAGCCATAGAGACTTGACTAATGAATGTAATAAAGAGAGAAGGCCAAGTAGGCTGGATAAAACTGTCAAAAAGCCCCCTGAGAAAGAGCTGCGGACAACTTGAAGTAGGTGAGGAAGCAGAACTGAGTAGTGAGATGTGGAATGTGGAACCAGTGAGACCAAGAGAGATGAGGAAGGAGAACTGAGAGTTCTACTCTGCATCTGGAATGGACTTCCCTTAGTGTTTTCTTAAAAGATGACATTAAAGATTTAAGCTGCTTCTCAATGATGATGTGTCTAGAAATCAGATCACAGGACCGCCCAGAGCTAGGAGGGACCTCACTCTAACAGTTGTAACATTTCTCAGAAGTGATGTAAAGCATGTTTCAGCCATGGGATTCTTTGCTCCTGCTCCAAAGAATAATGTATATGAAAAGTATCAGATATAAAGCAGTTCTTCCCTTTAGTTTCAGTGGAACTGAAACCTCCACACCCCATCGTCAGAACTCCATTACCCTCCTTCCACTACCACTATCCTCATTGCCCCTAAGGCTCCTCCAGATGACAGTCATCAGTGTGAAATCTTTGATCCAGTCTAAATCTGTCATTTTTTCTATAAGGAAAGGGAGGCACATGACAGTTCAGTGAGGTACTCCAGTTATATGTCTGGCTAGTGGTATAGCCCCAGCCAAAGTCCAGGTCTCCTGACTCCCCATCATCTCATGTCCTCACACTACGGCTGAACAAGGGTGGCCCTCACCTCCCACTTCCTCTGAAGTGGCTCCTGTGACTGTGGGTGGAGGAAGGAACTCAAGGAAATTCTCTTTCCCATCTTAGGCCAATGAATCAACAAATTTGTTCTATGCAGAATGCTTCACCAAGCTCTAGACAAGTTATAAAACCAAATTGAAGTCTTTTCCTGCTCTTAATAACCTAATGAGAGAAATAGACAGTGACATGAAGATAGCTTGATACTATGGAAAGATCATTGGATTTGGGTGATTTTTAGTTTCATGACTTTGCACAAGTAATGAAATTTCCTTTAACTTCTGTTTTCCCCCTCCTTCCTTGCTACATTATTGGTAGGATCATATGCAGGCCCCAGAGTAGACTCAGAAACCTCTGGAAAGGGGATTCCATTGTTTAATATGAGTTTCGACAGAAATAAATGAAATTATATGTTTGAATCCAAAGGCCGAAAACACAATTTTGCATAATTTAAGGGCTTAGAAGAACACAGTCTAAGTTTATGCCTTTCTCACCTTGTTTTCCAGCTGCAAATTAAAACAATAATTATTCAACACCCATTCTCTAAAGAGGACACTGTGCTGAGTGCAAAACCCCAATTGCACTTCAGCATCCTATAATCTAACTGAGATTTTAAAAGACTCACTTGAATTTGTGTTAAGCAGAGAAATATAACCATTTGCATGGCAAAGTGAAAGTCAGAGAAACTGAGATCAGGATACTATGACTCTACACAGGCTTGGGTGGGATAGGAAGAGCTCTCCAGGTTGGCAGTACAAGTACCCAGTATGTGCTAAGCTCTGTGCCGAGTTTTTAAAATGCATCATTTCAGTTCATCCTCACAACTGCCTTATGAAGTATGTTATGTTACCCCATTGTATAAATTAGGAAACTGAGGTGCAAAGGAGGAACAGTCTATGAACAATATAGAAAATGCAATTCATACTCACATAACATTGAGGAGATGAGTTTGTTTGAAGTAAATGGTGCAAAATTGTAAGAGACAACAAGTTATAGAGAAATAAGGTGTTGATATGGTTTGACTATATCCCCATCCAAATCTCATCTTGAATTGTAGCTCCCGTAATTCCCACGTGTTGTGGGAGGGACCTGGTGGGAGATGACTGAATCATGGGGGCGGGTCTTTCCCATGCTGTTCTCGTGATAGTGAATGGGTCTCACAAGATCTGATGGTTTTAAAAAAGGGAGTTTCTCGGCACAAGCTCTCGATTTGCCTGCTGCCATCCATGTGACTTGCTCCTCTTTGCCTCCTGCCATGATTGTGAGGCCTTCCCAGCCTTGTGGAACTGTGAGTCCAATTAAACCTCTTTCTTTGTAAATTGCCCAGTCTTGGGTACGTCTTTATCAGCAGCATGAAAAGGGACTAATACAGGTGTGGCCAGTTAATTTTAATGTGTTAAAGCTTCTGGAATAGATTTGGAGGGCAGCAAGTATTCACAAAAGTATTTTAAGCAAAGGAGTGATTGTGGCACATTAGTAAGCCTAATCTTTTAGCTATAAAGTAATGAAATTCATGCAGTAGGAAGTTATTGTGGAACTGAAAGAAAACGGAAAGATTTATCATATAATTTCCAAAGTATTTGTGTCTAACAAAATATTCATGAGTTGTCCTGTTTCAATTTAGCGAGATACCTGTGAATCAGCACTGGATCCTAGATGGTTTTCCAATGACTTTAAACCAAGCACAGCTTCTGGAAGAAGCTCTTACAGGCTACAATAGAAACCTCACAGAACTGGAGAGAAAAAAAGCACAAAAATCCACATTGGCTATTGATCCTGCGACTTCCAAAGAAGTACCTCTTCCCTCTCCTGCATTTGATTTTGTCATATTATTAGACGTTTCAGATACTTCCTCAATGAGTCGCATGAAGGATATAATAGGTAAGCTGGACACCTTTTTTGATGCTCTTTTTACAATGAAAACTTTATTTGTTCTTTGAATCAGTGAGTACTCCCATTTACAATTATAAGTGAGTACAAAATAATCTACTTCAGCCTATCAAAGAATTATCTAGCTGAGCACAGTTGCCTCTTGCTCTGACTGTTAGCATTCAGCACTGTGGACAAAGCCTGGAACTAGTGAATTGCAGTCCAACTGTAGCATCTCACTGAACCTTCCCATCAACTTGGGAGTTCCCCTGTCATAGGGGTGTTTTTTTGAGACGTGCGCATATGGAGGAGTGCTTTGTGGCTGTCTAGCATGTTTTGGTGGGTCACCCTCTTGAGGGTCATAAACCACATCTGTGCTGTAAGAAAGGATCTGATAACATCCTTTTCTTGGACTGAGTATTAACTCTGAAGAGCAGGTATCAGTCAGCTGAAGACTTCACATGATGGGGTTAAATCTTCTTGCAAAAATTCATAGTTTAACTATTTTTCAACCTTGAAAAAAATCCTTTATTCCACAAATTATATACTTATGGGTAAAAGCACTTCTTGAACCTTGGCTTTCTTACATACGACGTATCTGACCTTGAGAAAGTTACTTTATTATTCTAAGCCTTGGTGTCACAACCTATATGATAAAATGGCTCTTTTTTTTGTTGTGGGTATTAAATGAGATCAGAGTTACATGTTTAGAACAGAATCTGGCACATGATAATAAGCATGTGGTAAATACATCAGGGAAAAATGATGGAAGACTTTGAAATTGACAAATGATTACCTGCACATCATTTTACTACAAGGCTGACTATTGCCTCTTGGGCCCTTGGGGATGCCTGATTCTATAAGGGTCTGTGTTTTTCATTGGTTTTGACTCAACTCTTCTATAACGCTATAAATTGTAGGAAATTGATAGTAATACAAATTATTCAAAATTGATAGTAATGCAAATGATTCCTGTTCTTAGAAATGAAAGTAAATTTTGTCCAGCTGAGACAGTTTCCACACTGTAAAAAAGATGATTTGAAATACTTGAGCCCAAGAGTTTGAGATCAGCCTAGGCAACATGGCAAGGCCCTGTCTCTACAAAAAATAAAAATATTAGCCCAACATGGTGTCACATGTCTCTGATCCTAGCTACATGGGAGGCTGAGGTGGGAGGATCACTTGAGCCCAGGAATTCAACGCTGCAATGAGGTATGATCACACCACTGCACTTCAACCTGGGTAACAGAGTGAGACCCTGTCTCCAAAAAAATCATATTGCTCTATACATAATAACCAGAATTTACTGGGGAGAGCAAAGGAATAAGTGTTTAGAAGCAGCAGCTAATGGTGAAGAAGAAAGCCTGGGACAGTAGTGTCTCATAAGCCAAAGGAGGACAAATCTTCAAGGCAAATGTGTCATGTAATCCCCCTTCCAGACCAGCAGGAGCCTAGGCTGAGTGGGAGCCTAGCCACTAGGGTCAGGTGCAGCATGGGGTTCGAGGTCTATGGAGAAACCTGAAGAACATCATCACAGAGAAACATGCTACATCCACAGCGATGTGGGCTACAAAGTCCTGCCAGGGCTGGGCTGTGGTAAGTGATCCAGACTCAAAGCCAATGGGCAGGAGACGGGGGGGCATAAGGACCGGGAATGGCCATTGTGAGAGTAAAAGTCTACATCGGAATGGAAGAAGAGGTGGCTGCCTCCACTGTTTAGCCATTGGTCAACCTGAGACAGTACAGTAATGTTCACCCTCTGGTGAGAGTAGAAACAGATTTTGAGTTCAGGGCATCAAATACTGACCCTTTGTGGCTAATGGTGACTGAAAAAGAACAGGAAAGGGCTTCTGGGACTGATAATGTTTGTATATCTGGGTGCTGACTGTCTTCAGTTCATTAATTCATGGAGATGAATATTAGTGTATGCATTTTTTGGCAAGTATAATGCAACAAAGACTATAAAAATTAAAAAGAAGTCCAGAACCTGGAGTCATATTGCCTGGAATCAAATCCCTTCTCTACTATTTATGAACGGTGCAATTTGGAGCCAATTATAGAATCTCAATCCCACTTACAAGCTTTTGTTGAGTATTAAATGACATAATATATATAAGAGCTTTTAAGAATTATACGCTAAATTTTACCTATAAGTATTATAAACAAGCCAAAATAAGGACTGAAATGTGTCCTTTAGCATTTTTGGTGACTGGTATGTGAGCCATTTCATGGAGGGTAGGAGAGAGAAGGAACGATTGCGGTGTGTTGAGGTGTGAGTGGGAGGTACAGAGATGGAGAGTGAGTGTAGATAACTCCCAAGAAGTTTATCTCTGAAAGAAGAAAAAGAAGGCATGGCCACAGGATATTTGTTACTTTTTTAGTTTTTTTATTTCTCTCTTTATTTATTTTAGAAAAGGGTCCATATATATATATATATATATATATGAGAAAGAGCTCAACTGATTTTTTTAGCTAGGGAATTAGTGAGAAAAAGGTTGTGTATTTTTATTCAAAGATGCCTACCAGCATAAGCCTTAAAAAATAAAAAAGATATCATTTAAGGCTGGTACAGCAGAAAGACACAGAAATTGGAGTTGTTAAGAGGCAGGGAGAACTTGAAGTGTTCATTCATGCAGTTTAGGTTTGCTAGAAAGCATAAAGTGAAGTCAGGATAATGCTGATAAATTTGGAAAAAAAGGAGGTAGGAATGTAGGGACTGGATGCTAGTGAAGAGATTCATCAACAATACCAGAGCTGGAAAGTTTGTGGTAGGAGTATAGGTCTTTAAGATTGCAAAGATGGAGCCATTCAGGGTAATCAAAAAATTCAGTGGCCATGGTACAGAGTACCACGAGTGAAGGGAAGGGGAAGGAGCACTGCCTGGAGCTGAGGGGTTGGAAGGTTGGACAGAGAAGAATGCTAATCTGTGCACTGAAGTCCTGACAGCCGCGAGGTAGTGACCATGAGATGGTGCATGGGCATCTCCCAAGAGAACTTCCACAGTTTTCTTCAGTCACCTGTTCCAATGTGATCCTTGGGTTTTATTAATCATTTTAAAGCATCGTTCTGCATTCTAAATTCATTTCACCTTGTTCTGTTATGAATGGAGATGAAGAACAACCGATTACTATATCCTGTGAGGGTTCTTCATTTGCTTGAACTCTAATAATTCACTATTCAATGTTCTCTTATATTGAGTAATTCTAATTTCTTTTAATCTAGTTCAAGACTTTCTTTCCTCTTTATGACTTTTTATTTATTCTAAATTGGTGAGTATTCTGGACTTTGTATCATTAATCCAGAATAGGACTCAATCAGAGCTGTTCCAATTGGTTTTTTTGTTTGTTTGTTTTTGGTCTCTTTGGGTCTATTCCTTTATGTCTATTCTGCAGGGAGATCATAAAGTCTAGAAAGAAACAGAATAATTTTATTATATTGCAATATAATATCAAGAAATAATTTTTATGTTGACGTTCCAGCCACCTTGTTCTTTCGTCTTAATTTTTACATCACCGTGTTAATTTTTCCAATTGTTTTCAAGTTAGTTATTCATGATGACCCATCATTTTTCATTCTCATCTATCATAGACAATTCTGAGATCCTTACACTGAAACTACAGCTTCTCTTTAATGTTTTACTCATTTTCCCCAATTTCCAAAAACACAATCAAATTCTTATCTCAAAACTATACTCTTTCAACATCTTTTAAAATATTTTTAAGTAACACTGGACCCAACATCTTTTAAAATATTTTTAAGTAACACTGTACCAAATACAGGACCCTATCTTGTTTGGCATCTTTCATCAGTATATTTTAGCAGTAAGTAGCAACTTTGGTTTTGAAAATTATCTAATTAAATAAATTTTATACCATAGCTGAAGAATTGTCCTATAAAACTGCTCACGAAGACATCAGTCAACGTGTAGCTGCTGAAAATCAAGATAAGGGTGGAGACCAAAATTTAAGAGACCAGATACAACATAGGTTAGTTTTGAACTAAATGCTCTGCTTCTTGTTTCATGCTTTTAGAATAGATTGACAACCACTTTGGAATCATCAGACCTGGAAGAATATCTATTTCTTAGCATTCAGTCTTTAACAGGTTAAAGAAAACTAAGTAGTTTTGATAATTAGTGAAATACTTATGTGCTAGCTTTCATATTTAGAGCGCAAGTCATTATAGTCTGAAAAAAGAAGAATTAAATCAGGCAATACTTCCCTTTATGGTTACATGAACTTATAAGTTAATTATATGGAATCGTAATTCAGCACTCTTTAAGGAAATGCCGGTGACAATGATGGAACTTCAAAAAGGTAGGCATCGGACTGTAAACTACTTCTATTTTGCTAAAATAAAATTATTCTTTTGGTTGTGTGCAATTTGCCATTGGAAAGGGAAATTTAGACAAAATTAGACAATTTTATGAAACCCTGAAAAGTTTAACAATATGAAATGAACCAGGGAAGAGTAATCTGAGCTACATTAAGGCTATCTGCTCTCCAGGAAGAAAAACAAAGTTTCAAGAATTATTCCAAGAACACTTTTGAGTAAAGTATGTAAGTCTAAACCAACTATACTTACTCAAAGATCTCTTCAATTTCTATCTCTGAGAAAAAAAATAGATGGCCTAGGTGAATCAGGCTGTAGCTACCATCCAAAGAGAGTTCAGAGTTATTCTACTACAAGCACAGATGATGTTTTCTTAGATTTTCACTTGGAGATCTGAACTTACACTAAAAGTTATCCTGAATCAATGACATTTTCCTCTTTTACTCTCATACATCTCAAAAAATATGTCTTGATGACATTAAGTAATTTCTTCTTTAATCTAAAATAAATAACATTGTTTCTTTTTCAGATGCAATTATATTGGCAGCCTATCTTTTCATTATGCATGTCGGATAATTTATGCTTAATATCATTCTAATCTTTTGATCAGTATGAGATATTCATATCATATTTTGATTTTGCAGAATTATAGGCTTCTTGGACAACTGGCCTTTATTGAAGCAATGGTTTTCAGAGCCAGAAAATATTTTGATAAAAATCAATGCTGAAATAGATAAGGAATCTTTATGCGAAAAAGTAAAAGAAATTCTTACGACTGAAATAGTAAAAAAAAAGAATAAAGGTATTTACATTTGTTTATAGTTTTGAGTTTAGGCAACTAAAATGTGTGGTTTTAATGCGTTTGGGGCGAAAGGAAGATGTGATTGAAAAGTTCTTTCTTATCTTTGGATTTATACTATCTACAAGTGTGTTCTGCCTCTGTCTTTAGCTTTCTGTTGTATGTGTTTCTGAATAAAAGATTTTTCTCTCTTATTTTAATCAAAAAGAGACCATCGCTCTGAAAACATTGTTTTCATGTCAAAACAATAACAACAACAAAAAAACCCAGCAGAGTTAAATTTAAGGATATTAATTCACATTTTATTCTCGGGATATATGCAATCTTTATTTGTTAATTAGATATTTTTAAGTAAAATTAATGGAAATTACAGATATTGTAGATAAAGGCAAGGTTTTACTTTGTTAGCTTTAGCATTATAAAGAAACCATGTGAATTCTTCTTTTAGGATGGACAGACTAGGCCATTTTTTCTCAAATCCACCTATTTTGTTACAGGTTTATTATTAAATTGATTATTAATTATATATTAACTTGCTTTCATGTTTTATCTTACACAAATAAAACTACACAGATCTCCTTCCTCCTTCATTCAACCAATGATAATTGCCCACTAACTTTTTATATTATTATGGAAGCTTTTTATTGAAAGAGATTTTAACTTCAGTCCAATGTCATATTTCCTCTGGGATTTTACCTTGGAGACATGATTTGAAAAATAAATGTTTCCTTTTTGTTTATCAATTATCCCAAATTATATTGGCAACTACAGTTTCTTGGTATAGTAAAAAATGGTCAAAGTTAATGGTGTGAAAAGGATTCTAAAGTTGCCTTGATAGCGTACTGTCTCCTGTCACTAAATTTGTGACCTAACTACCATAATGTACCAATTAATTAACATTAAAATAGCCCATAGACATAAACCACAATCACCATGGATATCCAGGAGCTCACACTTAGAAAGACAAGCTCCTACATCTAAATGCCTACTACAAAAACTACCAGCATGAACTTTTCAAAGAGAAAAACAATCATATAGTATTTTAAGAGGCTTAACATGTCATTTGACAGAATAGCAATCTTACAGAGTCTTGGTTGGGAAGCAGAAACAAACCAATTCTAACCCATAAAGGCTTGAAGTTACGGGTTAGAATCAGTTTGTTTTTGCCAACTATTAGACTCAACTTTAACATTTTCCTAAAGAGTTTGCATTCTAATAATCACTGACTACATTAATAGACTCAGTTATCACTTATTTAAGATTTATATTTCAAACAGGTAATTAACAGTTGTTTAATCATTAAAAAAATAAACATTAACCTAGCCCGGTGCTCAGTATTAAACATCCCAATTAAGTTAAAAAACTAAAAGAATGTGGTACTTCTATATTCTGACCACAATATACTGTTAAGTAGGAAAAAGCAGGTTACATATAAAATAGTCTCTTTTAAGGAAAGTGTACATATTTATGTATTAAAATACATACGCACAGAAGAGTCGGGAAGCATATATAATACTTGATGGTGGAGAAGGAGATGGGACTTAAAGAGACTTAACAGGCAATTCTCCTTTCTACTTGTCTTAATTCTTGGATGTTTAAAACAATAATGATGAATTACTTTAAAAATCAGAACTAAAACCCCGAATTTCCACTTCGAAAGAATGTCTAATAGAATGAAACCTCCTGGCTTGCTGAATTGAAAAGAGTATCCAAGGGTGGAGTGAGCACATGTAAAGAGAAATAGCCATGCAAGAACATAGGCATTCATCGCCAGTGGTACATTCAGTAGAGCTGTGGGCCTCCGCAGTGTGAAGGGATGGAAAGACTGGGCAGTCAGGGAAGGTGTGCCAGGAAAGGTGAAACTGCATCATGAAAGGCAAAGGGTCATCACAATGATGGGAGCCTAGAAAGACTCCAGTTCGCCATGCTCCATCCCTCCAGGCATCTGGGCTAACCATCTCCTCTGACTGGGACACGCTTTCAGCAGAAATCCACGAGGCTCACTCCCTGGCTTGCTTCATGTCTTTGCTCAGACGTCACCTTATGGTTGGGCATACTCACCCTGGCACTCTGTCTAAAACGTAAGAAGCTGCCCACAACACTTTGGTCTCCCTTACTCTGTTCTATTTTTTTTCCATAGCACTTATCACCATCTTAACTCTTGTATAAATTAACTTATTCATCATATTTATGGTTTGTTTCCTACCACTAGAATGTAAGCTTCATAAGGCCATTGATTTTTCTGTTTTGTTTTACTGTTGTATCTCCAGCAATCAGAACTATTGTTTGCAATATTATTATAATTATTATCATTAGAAATAGTAGTTTTACTTTATTGTTGTAATCCTTCCTTTTCTTCAAGGCATAATTCAGGTTCAATAAATGGTTGTTGCAGGAATTAATGAATTGCTAAGGCTTAATTGAGGATGTATGTACTGTGCAGTATTCTAAGTGCTTTGTATTCACTTATTAAAGTTAGTGATACACATTTCTTTCCCCTTCCATTTCCTCCTCACCCCACCTCTTGTATTACATTGCCCTTTACAGTCTTTTTATACTTGTTCATTTTGCTTTCCCACTGGACATTTTCAAACAATCTTTTATTTTTCTCTTCATCTTTATTAGCTACTTCCAGATTATCACTTTTACATTTGGCACCCACTTGCTAACCCTTTATATCAGCTCCGTACACACAAATACACATATATTACTCATCACCCCCATGCCAGCCACCACCATCAACACTCCTAACATCACCACTACCACACCACCACCATCACCATCACTATCACCACCACCATCACTACCACCATCCCCATCACAGCCATCACCACCTCTACCTCCACCACGATCACTTCTACCAGCACCTCCACCACCACTACCACCAGACCCATCACCACCTCTACCTCCATCACCATCACCACCATCATCACCTCTGTCTCCACTACCACTACCACCACCACCATCACTACCACCATCCCTACCACAGCCATCACCACCTCCACCACCATCACCATCACTACCAGCTCTACCTCCACCACCATCACCACCATCATCACCTCTATTTCCACTACCACCATCACTACCACCATCCCCACCATAGCCATCACCACCTCTACCTCCAGCTCTACCTCCACCACCATCACCACCATCATCACCTCTATTTCCACTACCACCATCACTACCACCATCCCCACCATAGCCATCACCACCTCTACCTCCACCACCATCACCACCATCATCACCTCTATCTCCACTACCACTACCACCATCCCCACCACAGTCATCACCACCTCCACCACCATCACCAGCTCTTCCTCCACCACCACTATCACCAGCACCATTACCACTATCACTACCTCTACCTCTGCCACCATCACCACCATCATCACCATCATCACCACCACCACCCCCATCACCACCACCACCATCACTACCACCACCACCGTCACTACCACCATCCTCCCCACAGCCATCACCACTTCTACCTCCACCACAGTCAACACCACTGTTATTAATACCACAACCACCATCACAACTACACCATCATCACCACCACTACCCATCAACATTACCACCACTGCCATCAAGAGGCAAGGGCAACCATATTTCTGACAAGGGAGAGAAGACTTGAAATCTTAGCTTTAAGGACTAGAAGATTTAAGGGAAAGCCCAAAAGCATGAATTAACTTTAAATACATAAGAGTGTTTTGTATTAATTTAGATTTCTCTTGGTTCAAGTGAAATAGTAGATGTCTAGAGTCTCTAATGAGGGTCAATTCTTATCATCCTTTTGAAGTTGAGAAGAAATTAGAAGAAAAGGAAGCTGAGAAAAAAGCAGCAGCTTCCCTGGCTGAGCTTCCACTTCCTACACCTCCTCCCGCTCCTCCTCCTGAACCAGAAAAAGAGAAGGAAATTCATCTTCATCATGTGCCTTCAAAAACTCCTACTGCAAAAGGAAAACCTCAATCAGGTGATTGACAGAGTGATTTATAATCCTGTTTTTCAGTTTCTTAATTTTACTCAGTAAAGAATTATAAATTGTAGTCTATCTACATTCAGACTTTGGGCAACTTCAATCATATGAAACAAGGCTTTACACTCAGATGGAGGTGGAAAAGCTCTTGGAGTAGCTAAACGCGTAGTTGTTACAAAGTCCAGCTTCTTCGCTGTGTAGGAGGAGACATGGAGTCATCACGCCTAGGTCTACTGATTAGAGTAAGATCACAGAGGAGAAGAGGAAAAGGCACAGAGCAACAGGTAACTTCAGGCAGATCAAGAGGATACACGTCTGTTTGCTGAACTACGGAGTTAGATTTATGTAATGAGTAAGAGCATCTTAATAAAATAAGAATGACTATAGCTGGTTTTACACCAGAATAAGGGAACAAATTAACAGCAACCAATAGAACTAGAATTTATATGTAATTGTAAATCTTCAGGACTTGTGATTATAAAAGTACAGAAACACGCTCCTGCCATCTCAGTAAACATATATTTATGGACATAGAGATAAAGAGCCTAGATAGAGAACATTTTTAGTTTAAGTTTTTTCTAGATCCTTAACTCCTAAGGACCATAAGTCTAGCATTCAGTGGTAGACAATAAATATAATGACAAAAGTGAAGTGCTTAATTGTTTAATGCATGATATTGGTAGAGTGTCAGTATCTATTTGTGTGTGTGTATAAAACAAATGAGGCTTTGGTTTCTAGTTTCAGCTTCATAAATGGCTGACTGTGCAGTTACACCATGTCTACCTAAGTATCTTTGATACTGTGTCATGACCACATTTCTAAACTCCATAGTCTTATGGAGATTTCAGATAGGTCTGAATTTTTAAAATTAAACTTATTCATATTAAGCAAAAAAAATTTGAAGACTTTAGTAAGATATTATGGTATATTAAAGACCATTTCACTCCAGGAAATTAGAACTTAACTACAGGCAAAATACACAAACCCTAAAAAATGCTTTTATCATGTCAACAATAAAACACAAAGACATGAATTAAATATACACCCTTTTCCCACTATCTCATTAGGAAATTAAAAAAACAATTCAGAGGTCTGGAGGAAAATGGAAATATTTAAAATGCTTTTTAGAACTGGGGAAGACAGGCCGAGCGTGGTGGCTCATCCCTGTAATCCCAGCACTTTGGATCACCAGAGATCAGGAGTTGAAAACCTGCCTGGCCAACATGGCAAAACCCCATCTCTACCAAAAATACAAACATTAGCTGGGCGTGGTGGCAGGCGCCTGTAATCCCAGCTGCTTGGGAGGCTGAGGCAGGAGAATTGCTTGAACCTGGGAGGCGGAGGTTGCAGTGAGCCGAGATGGCGCCACTGCACTCCAGCCTGGGGGATAGAGTGAAACTCTGCCTCCAGAAAAAAAAAAAAAAAAGAAAGAAAGAAAGAAAAAGAACTGGGGAGACAGTTTTCACAGTGGGTCAGGTGAGCCTGGAATTATCTAATATAGTCCTTTAACCTATAGCTATGGCTCTACAACTCTTGCTCCTCCTCAGTTTGCTCTAGTCAAGAGTATCTATATATTTGAGCCATTTCCTGAAACCAGTCTCTAGTGCTTCTGATCAGGACCAGCTCAGTCTTTAAGTTTCTGAAGTTCGTTTGCTATTTTATAATTGTATTCTTGAATAGTGTGCATTGAAGAAATAATAAATCTATTGTTGCTTTAAAGAGTGGTTGTACTTGTCTTTTTTTTCCCACCAAGGTCAGGGCTAGTGCCTGCTATTTAAGCATGTTTAGAAAGGTTAATCTCCAGAGTCCTAATTGCTGCCAGCCAACCTCACTGTGATGGACATTGATGGGGCAGGAGAGCAGACAGCACTGCCCCTGCAGCTCAGGGAAGCTTGGTTAGGCAATTTAAGAGAGGAACATTTATCACAGGTTTTTTAAATTTTTTGTGTAAATAATTTACAAATTTTCCAAAATGGAACATTTTTAGAACTGAAAACCTGAGGCTTCTGAACATGCCCTACTCAAACATCTAATTACAATCTTCAGCAGAAGTTGAGATAAAAGATCCCCCTCACTTACCCAATTTTAAAATATCATGGACATGACAACAGATCCATAGAAATAAGACAAGTGACTTTGTTAATCTCCTCTAAATGATAGTTTAAAATTCCAAAATAGTTGACCACTAAATTCTGGAGAAAAAGAGAAGGCGGCGACACGGAGGAAAGGGAAGGGAAGGAGGGAAGGAGAGGAAGGAAGGAAGGAGAGAGGGAGGGGAGGGAGGGAGGGAGGGAAGGAAAGAAGAAAAACCTAACAATAGAAGTACTGACGGTAGGTATTTATTCTATTGTGCCATACTAAGAACCTATTTCCCCATTAAATAGTGAACCGCCCTACCGGGACGGGTTTGATACTGCTTTGACATAGATCCTTCCATGGAAATTAACTATGGACACCTCCCAGTGCCGTTTTTCAATTTACATCCCCCAAGTATAATCGGAGGCAAATATAAAATGGTGAAACTGAAATGAAATATTAGAAACAATTGTTTTAACAAATAACTGTTAGGATTCATGTAATACCCTCTCTAGCCCCTATTTTAAAAAATTCTTTGTTTTGATTTAGTGATAATTCCTCT